AGTTCAAGACCAGCCTGAGCAAGAGCGAGACCCCGCATCTCTACAAAAAGCAGAAAAATTAGCCAGGCCTGGTGGCGCGCACCTGTAGTCCCAGCTACTTGGGAGACTGAGGCAGGAGGACTGCCTGAGCCAGGAGTTTGAGGTTGCTGTGAGCTATGATGATGCTACTGCACTCTAGCCCGGGCAACAGAGCAAGAACCTGTCTAAAAAAAAAAAAAAACCACACACACACAAAATAAAATCAAACAAACAAAAAAACCCAAAAAACAAAAAAGTTTGCTGAATTTACTAAAGTTTAAATATTTTTGATCCTTTGAAAAACTGTAAAAAAGATAGTACATTTTAATATGCTCTATACCAAATTTTACATAATGGAAAGTTCTACTAACACGTTTCATGATTCCCTTTATAAGTAAATGATATATATTTGAATTAATAAAGTAATACTTTTAGTCTTCTTTCTTTATTGGTGTTCCAAACAAGAGTGCCTAGCTAAAAATTTCCAAATACCACTAAATTGTACAGTAATAACAAGAGCTAACTTCACTGAATATTTACTATGTGCCAGGAACCATGAGGAACATTTTTATGCTTAAGTCATTACACGTAAAATCTCTATCACAAACTACCTCATTATGGTAGATATCAAATTATTTCCCATATTTAGAAGAGCAAACTGAAGCACAAGTTAATATAACTTGAACAAGTGTCACATGCTTGTTAAGTGGCAAAGTTAGGACTAAAACTAGATGTTTAGATAAAAATCTGTGCTTTTATCTACTATATCATGCTACTACCAAAAAGGTAGTAGTTTGAGGAACCTATTCAAAATTGGGTGTTTTCCATTTTAAGTTTTCATATTTTGATTCTACTAAACTTTCAACATGTTTATATTCTCAAACTAATGACAGAGTATTGAAGTGTTAAGGGTCTGGTCTTGAGTCTGTACTCTTGTGCCACCTACCAACTGCTGAGTATGAACACGTTTACCTGCAGATAGTTGCAGTCCTCACAGAACTGATAGAGATAATGCATAAGCCATTTTAGTAAAAGTACTAAAAACGCAAGTTAATACCAGTAGGAATGGAAAGAGATGGAGTCAGGATACCAATAAAAATAAGAATTAACTAGACTTGGCTGGGTGCGGTGGCTCACACCTGTTATCCTAGCACTCTGGGAGGACTGCCTGAGCTCAGGAGTTCGAGATCAGCCTGAGCAAGAGTGAGACCCTGTCTCTACTAAAAACAGAAAAAATTAGCTGGGTGTGGTGGCACACAACTGTAGTGACAGCTACTTGGGAGGCTGAGGCAGGAGGATTGCTTGAGCCCAGGAGTTTAAGGTTGCTGTGAGCTATGATGACGCCATGGCACTCTAGGCCGGGCAACAGTGCAAGATTTTATCTCAAGAAAAAAGAATTAACTAGACTTGGTAAAGTGGCTGGCTAAAGCCAGGTACTTTATATAGCATAGCTACTTGGGAGGCTGAGGTCAAGGACTGCCTGAGACCAGGAGTCAAGGCCAGCCTGGGCAACATAGCAAGACCTTGTCTCTTAAAAAAAAAAAAAAATTCAAGCGGCTGACTAGAGGAACAAAGAGGGGGAAAAATCAAATGATCCCAAGGTTTTGAATGGAGATAATGGAAATTATGGCTGTCAGATAAGGAAATGTTGGTGAGTAAAGCTCTTTAATGAAGATGAGTCTAGGATGATAGAAGTATATCTAGGTGAAATTATGTAGTAGAGTACTAAGCATTGGCAGGAATATATATTTATTACTATAAAATGTCCATGATTTTGATCAGATATATTTTAATGTTACCAAGATCTATTATTGGTTGTAGAAATAAATCCACTCTCTGAGTAAATGGGAATAAAAAGAGCTAAGGAACAAAAATAATGTCAAAGTTGAAAATGACTGGCAAAAAAGTGGGCAGGGAGAAATGATAGTTTTATGTGGGGTTTGAAAACCTCTCACTCTTTGAAAAAATGTACTGTGCTATATAACACAGAAAAATGCACAAATTTTAAACATCCAGCTCGACAAATTTGTATGCATGTGTATACCTTTGTATTGTAACAGTTCCAGAACCCAGTCAATATCTATACCTCACCTAGCCAACCACTATTCTAACTTTTACAACCATGTATTAGTTGTGCCTACTGTATGGACTCTTTTGAGTCCGATTTCTGTCATTCAACACTGCCTGTGAGATTCATTCATATCTTTCGTGAATCACAGCTCTTTCTAATTGCTAAGTGGTATTTCATTGTATTATTATAATTTACTTACTCATTTTACTGTTTATGAACATTTGGGTTGTTTCCAGTTTTTAGTTGTTACAAATAAGGTGCTAAGATAATTCTTGCACATAGAATAGCAAGGTACACAGAGTTTTTGTTTTTTTTTTTTGAGACAGTCTTGCTCTGTCGCCCTGGGTAGAGTGCAGTGGCATCATCCTAGCTCACTGCAACCTCAAACTCCTGGGCTCAAGCAATCCTCCTGCCTCAGCCTCCCAAGTAGCTGGGACTACAGGCATGGGCCATGACACCCAGCTAATTTTTCTAGTTTTAGTAGAGACAGGGTCTTGCTGTTACTCAGGCTGGTCTCTAACTCCTGAGCTCAAACGATTCTCCTGCCTCAGGCTCCCAGAATGCTAGGATTACAGGTGTGAGCCACTGCCAGGCCTCATTTCTCAAGTGTTCTCTTGAGTACCTAGGAGCAAAATTGCGAGACATAAGCAATATATAGTTTTAACAGCAACTGCCAAACATTTTACCAAGGTTGTTATACCAATTACACTCCCAACAAGCAATTAAGAGAGCTCCAGGTACTCCACATCCTTGTCAATACTTGGTATTGTGGGGTTTTTTTTTTGAAATTTTAGCAATTCTAGTGTTTTCTTCATGTTTCGGGGGCAGTTTGTCAACTTTTGTGAAGTGTCTAAGTTTTCACTCATTTTTTGAAATA